TGAAATCCAGGATTTTCCCATGGATTTGGGGTTTAAATCTGGGATTTTCCTCATGGATTTTGGGATGAAATCCAGGATTTTCCCATGGGATTTGGGGATGAAATCCGGGATTTTCCCGTGGATTTGGGGGTGAAATCTGGGGTTTACCCCGCGGATTTTGGGATTTGGGGATGAAATCCGGGATTTTCCCGTGGATTTGGGGGTGAAATCTGGGTTTTACCCCGCGGATTTTGGGATTTGGGGATGAAATCCGGGATTTTCCCGTGGATTTGGGGGTGAAATCTGGGTTTTACCCCGCGGATTTTGGGATTTGGGGATGAAATCCGGGATTTTCCCGTGGATTTGGGGGTGAAATCTGGGTTTTACCCCGCGGATTTTGGGATTTGGGGACGAAATCCGGGATTTTCCCGTGGATTTGGGGAATTTTTGGGCAGAAATTCCTGGAGATGATCGGAGCCACGCAGGGCCAGATGACGGTGCTGAGGTTGATCGAGCTCCTGGAGAGGGGAAGGAGGCTCCCGGTGCCGGGGGATTGTCCCAGTGAGGTGGGAAATAATGGGGGAATGGGATAATGGGAATGGGAATAATGGGATAATGGGAATAATGGGAATGGGAATAATGGGAATGGGAAATAATGGGATAACGGGAATAATGGGAATGGGATAATGGGATAATGGGATAATGGGAATGGGAATAATGGGAGATAATGGGAATAATGGGAATGGGATAATGGGAATGGGAAATAATGGGATAATGGGAAATAATGGGATAATGGGAATAATGGGATAATGGGAATAATGGGAATGGGAAATAATGGGATAATGGGATAATGGGATAATGGGAATGGGAAATAATGGGATAATGGGAATAATGGGAATGGGATAATGGGAGATAATGGGAATGGGAAATAATGGGAATGGGATAATGGGAATGGGAAATAATGGGAGATAATGGGAATAATGGGACTGGGAAATAATGGGAGATAATGGGAATAATGGGACTGGGAAATAATGGGAGATAATGGGAATGGGATAATGGGAATGGGAAATAATGGGATAATGGGAGATAATGGGAATGGAAATAATGGGAATGGGATAATGGGAATAATGGGAATGGGAAATAATGGGATAATGGGATAATGGGAATGGGATAATGGGAATGGGAAATAATGGGAAATAATGGGAATGGGAAATAATGGGAATGGGATAACGGGAATGGGAAATAATGGGAGATAATGGGAATGGGAATGGGATAATGGGAAATGGGAACTGGGAATGGGAAATGGGGAATGGGAAATAATGGGAATGGGAATGGGGAATGGGGATGGGAACTGGGAATGGGAACTGGGAATGGGAACTGGGAATGGGGATGGGAATGGGAAATGGGGATGGGATAATGAGAACTGGGAATGGGGATGGGAACTGGGAATGGGGACTGGGGATGGGAACTGGGAATGGGGAATGGGGATGGGAATTTTCCAGGATTTTCCATCTTTTTTCCCCCCCAGATTTACCGGCTGATGAAGAACTGCTGGGAGGCCGAGGCCTCGTTCCGCCCGGCCTTTCCCAACCTCATCCCAATCCTGAAGAATTTCCAGGAAAAGTATCGGAGCCAGGCCCCTTCCGTCTTCAGCCTCTGCTGAGGGAGCGGGAAAATCCCAAAAAATCCCATGGAATGAGAGGAAATCCCCAAAGATTTCATGGAATGAGAGGAAATCCCAAAAAAATCCCATGGAATGAGAGGAAATCCCAAAAAATCCCATGGAATGAGAGGAAATCCCCAAAGATTTCACGGAATGAGGGGGAAATCCCAAAAAATTTGACGAAATTGGGGGTGAAATTCCCAAAAATTTCATTAAATTGGGGGGGGGAAATCCCAAAAAATTCATGGAATGAGGGGGAAATCCCCCCAAAAAATTCATGGAATGAGAAGAAATCTCCCCCAAAAAAATTTAATGGAATGGGAGGAAAAAAACCACAAAAATTCCATGGGAAAAAGTGGAAACACCCAAAATTCCGGATCCAAAATCCCAAAATTCCGGATCCAAACCCCCCAAAATTCCCGATTTTTCCCGTGAAGATTTTGAGGTGGAAAAAAAATTGGAATTTTTGTGGGATTTTGATGGAATTTTTGTGGGATTTTCATGGAATTTCAATGGAATTTTTATGGAATTGTTGCCTTATTCCCAATCCTCTCTCCCAAGGAATTCCCGACTCCCCCAAATTTTGGGATCGGGGTCATTTTTTTGGGGGTGGGGGAGGGGCTGAATCTCCTTCCTTATCACCAGGATTTGGGATCTTTTCCCAAAAAAAAAATCCAGGAATTCCATTAAAAAAAAAAAAAAAACCACCCAAACCCGGCACTTTATGAGGATTTTTGGGAATTATTCCCCAAAATTCCTTTATTTATTTCCTGCTGTTCCCCCCCCCCCAAAAAAAAATGGGATTTGAGGGGGAAAATCCCGGGAATTTGGGGTGGGGGAGGGTTGGGATTTGAGAATTCCCGGGATTTTTTTGGGGGGGATCCGAAGGGTCCCGAAATAAAGGATGGAAAAAAATCCCTGGGCTCCGGAATTTGGGATTTTTGGGTCGAAATTTGGGATTTTTTTGGGGTTTTTTTGGGGATTTTTTTGGTTTTTTATTTGGATTTTTTTTTTGGTTTTTATTCGGGATTTTGGATCAAAATTTGGGACTTTTTGGGGTCTCAATTTGGGATTTTTTCTGGTTTTTATTTGGGATTTTTGGGGGGTTTGTTTGGGATTTTTGGGGTCTGAGTTTGGGATTTTTTCGGGTTTTTATTTGGGATTTTTGGGTCGAAATTTGGGAATTTTTTTTGGTTTTATTTTGGATTTTTTTTTGTTTTTATTTGGATTTTTTTTTGTTTTATTTGGGATTTTTTTGTCCTCCCAGAATCCCAAAATTCCTTCCGGGACCCCCAAAATTTTCCGATTTCTCCCCAAATTTCGCCTCCGGGCTTTAAAACGCGGCTTTGGCCACGCCCACTCAACAGCAGTGACCACGCCCACTCTATGCACTTATGTGGCCACGCCCACTTTCGTGCACGCGCGAACGTGACCACGCCCACTTCACGCACGCCCACGCTTTGGCCACGCCCACCAAAAGTCTCGTGTAGTATCACGTGATGTCGGTCACGTGGCGCCCAACATGGCGGCGCCCGTGGCGGCGGCGAGCGGCGGCTCCGTGACGCGGCGGCTGCTCCGGGG